ATGAATGCAAAAGCATCCCTATGACTCCAAGGGTTACACACACACACACACTGCCGAACTTTTTCGGAAGTCCATATAGGACTTCCACCTTAGGGAGAAACCGCGCCCCAAGTCTTCTATCTCAACCAAATTCACCGCATTTCCGGTCTTGGTCAACTCTCCTTAGCCCTCCATATCCATGGATCGGGCCAAGCTGCGGACCAACGTGGGCCATGCACTGGGATTTCTCCAGACGGGTATACGGTATATCGTGTGGGGAATGTATATCCTATTGCCAGGACCCAGTGGATGATGATGGTTAGGCTGGGCCCAGGTTGCAGGCCTTGTTCAAAAAGAGTGATCATGTGTGATACGGACTGATACTGGCAATGGGACAGACCCTACATGTGTGGGCGTGACGGTAAAGATCGCAGGAAAACAAACAAATCAGCAATGGCTAGACTATGCTAGACTGGTCGATATTCCTTCGCCGCCAAAAGGATCAAAAAGTCGAAGTGAGAGTCAGGTCTATCGTAAATAAGCATCCATATGGTCCATGTCACATGTGTGTTGATTCATCATGATCTACTCAGATCCACTCCCACAGGGAATCCCCCCCCGCCGTGTAAACTCCTTGCCGCGCTTCGCGCGTGTGGGGTGCAGCTCCACGGCCAACGAGCGCGTCACCCTGAATGGGTGTTCTTGCGCGGCAAGGTCGCACAAAAGCTGAACGGGTCGGAGGTGATCCCAATTGGCCCAATACATTGCGAATGCTCACCAATCAACTGAGACAAACCCGGTGCCCAACCCAGGGACCCAGGGACCCTGGCTCAGACAATGCAGATCTGAACCCATCCGATGCAGATCTGCATAACTCCGGGAGCCCTCGGCGGGACATGGTCACAGCTTCCTCCAAAAAGTCCGACGTTTCCCCTCCCAAACAGGCTCCTTTGGGATCTCAAAGCCTATTCACCTATTCTCAACACATTGCGTAATGATGTTTGTCTCACGTGACTTGAGTATATAATGAATGTTCTCACGTGAGGAAAAAATTAACACATTACTCAATTGAGCTACGTAGATGATTTCGCCACACTCCTGGCCGGCTCACGTCTCGTCGAGGCGGCTCGACTCGTCTCCGCTCGGCACCTGGGCACCTCTAAGTAGGTCTGGAGGACCATCCTGGGAGAGGGAGCGTGGCGACGTCGATCTCTGGTGATCCCGGGGATCTGGAAAGCATCCCTGAATAGTGAGTATCAACCAAAAACAGGGGGATCCAAAAACTCCTTGTCAGAACTATGAAACCAACAAGCCGTTCTGTTTAATAGGACCAACACTGATTTACGATATGGACCACACTCACGCCCCAGCATGCGGCGGGAACAGTTCCTGACCGGCGGATTGAAGATAGTGCCTGCTGGGAACCCCAAAAACAACCAGTTCAAACGGTTTCAAAGTTTCACAGCTGTTAATGTCACCATGCGGCTTGTTGTGGAGCCTCAACATTTGCCAGCTCGAAATCTTCAAAGAGCCATCACTCCGTCACATCACATAAAGGCTCTTTAAAAAGAAAGAAACAGCTGGCACAAGCTATCTTCGTCCAATTTTCTGGATCAAATCTCAATCCCATCGACTCCAACAACCCTTCAGCCCAGGTACTTGCCGACACCACCACCCAAGTCCAGGAAGGCAGCCGGCTCGCCAGCGTGGGTCAAGCCCAGGAACTGGGATCGACGGTCTAGGGGGGGAGCGAGCCGGCCGAAGCGACCGCCCAAGGGGACCTGAGAGTTGGGAGTTGGGAGTCACCTGTGAAACCACGTGAAACCGAATGACTTGGCTCGCAATGGAGAATGACCGTTTCTTTGGCTTCTTTGGGGAGTTCGTGTTCTGTGGTTTTCTGCAAGCGCCTGCACCAGCTGCCGCACTCCGTTGGAGGTCACCTGGCATCTTGGCGGAGTGGAACTGGAGCCTATTGGTGGGAGACCTTCCTTCAACAGAAAGGGGCGCCCCAAGCAAAAGATGTGAACAGCGGAGTGGGTGATGATGGGTGATGACTCAAAAAGTCCCAAATTTCATCAAGAGTTTTGAAGTTGCTCTCAGACCAAAATGCTGCCAAGAGGTGAAGGCCAAATTCCGCTCTCACGCACTCCTTGCCCTCACCCACAACGCCACCAGGCCACTGTCAGGCTGGTGAAGCGAAGCTCCTTGCCCCTCACGATGGCTCACAACTCACCGTGGCTCCGATCCCACTCCGATCGCCCACCCTCCGCCTCGCCGTAGGTGTGCGCTTGGAGGGTCTCATTGGGCCCCACAACGCGTGCCTGTGGGTGCCGCACGCGCAGCTTCGCCACGTTGCACCACCGCACCACCGCACCGGGGTGTGAGCAACTGGCGGTTCCGAACCAAAAGAAGTGCCCCTTCCGAAGAATCACCAAACGCGCACATGGTGCAAAAGAAAAAAACGATGTGTATCAAGGTATCCAAGAATGGTAAAGAGTTTTGTTGAAGCTATGGCAACAAGGAAACGACAATGGAAAAACTCCGCCGAACACCAGAGCCCCGGCCAGGCCATCCACCCATCCACGCAGACCATCGGTGCAGCGCTCGCTCGCTCCTGGGCGTCCTTCACGACCTGATCCTCCGCCAGGCCAATGCAATAGCCTTGGTGCGGTGCAGAGCGGTGCGACGGTCATGGCGCAGGGTTTCAGTGCAGGGCTTGGATGGTTGGTAGAGGTGCTCTGTCTTTAAAGGAGGTCTTTGGGTGGTGCCAACGCACGGGCCTGCCCTGCAGGTGGTGCTCGGTCTTTGATTGGTTCTTGCTTTTGGTTGATGTTGGGTGCAGCTGGGACTGCAGTGGGCTTTGAAGAGATGCGTCGGTGCCAGTGGCATTAAACATCGCCAACATCTTGGCCAGGCAGGGCAAGTGGATGAGGGCGCATGACAGGTTTCTCACGTCGCCTCGTAGGGATTGCTGCCCCGTGGATCCCGTGAACAGGCACCAACATCAAGTCAACATGAATGAAAGCAGGTGCACCCTGTCAAAGGTTCACTTGACTTGGTGCCCAAAGCCAGGTGGCCCCAGACAAAATATCTCTGCGGACCTCCTTGTGTCAGACAAAAGAGCAAAGACTCTTCATTGGTCTTCCTCACGAACGGCGTTTCCCCAGCTCGCGCCCAGGCACCGCTGTAGCGCCAATCCTCGGCGATGAGCGCCGAGGCTCGGCGAAGACTCGGTTAAGACGTCCGAGTCGTCCGATGGGGGGGGTGAAGACTCAGGATCTCTCACCAGGCAGTACAGTACAGTACAGCTGTATGTCGATGCACAGCTTTGTGAAAGCTGGTAGTGGAGGGGCTCATCTCTCATCTAGAACATCGACCTAACAACCATGGATGGCCATCCCCTCCCAGCTGGGGGTGCAGGCTCAGCGACTATCAGGATGGCAGACTCTCATGAGACTCTCATGTCTGTCAAAGACCCCAACACATTTGCTCAAACATTCTCCTGCATTCCAACCATCCACGTGGCTGCTTGGATGGATGGATTCTAGAATAGTAAAAACTCTTCTGAGCAAAAGCTGAATCCCATTCAAACCAATGAAGGGTTCAAGCCATTGAAGGATTGTGGGAAAAGAAACAAACAACCACGGAAAGCCGGCATCTAGCAAGCCTTCCTCCTCGTTTGCTGAGCTTTTACACAGTGAGAATGGAAACTGGTTTCAGCCACTGACTGTGCACTCACTTGCTCAAACAGTGTAACTTGTCGCAGTGAAGGCAAAGACAGAACAGCTGTTCACATGCAATTGTTCACGTTGCTCTCCTGCCGACCTGCTTAGACCCTGCCTTGGCACGTGCGTTCATGTCATGCAGTCTCCCATTGTTTTATGCCCTCTCCCCAGTCACCCTCCCCAGAAAGACCAGGGTGCCATTATCACCTGACCCCACCCAGAGCTTCTGCCGAAAGGCATAGGTCCGCTCCAGCAGGTTGTCCACCTGGAGCGGGCGCGGTCGGGTCCGACAGAAAAACCACAGAAAGGCCAAGGTGAATGGAATCTTCTTGATAAGTGCAAGGTGCTTTTTGTTTATGGCCTGTTTTCCAAGCCGGATGCACTGTTCTGAGGTTGAAAGCTGAACCACCAACAGGTAGGTTGGCGCTGAGAGTACCTGTATGGAGGCCTTGACTTTGGCACGGCGAAACGTCGCCTTCAGATCACGGCTCCGTGCCTCGCGCCAGAGCTGTTCCTCTAAGATGCTGCTGGGTGGCACCGACGCCCTGGCACCGACGGTCCGGATTCCGGAGCTTCCGGACCTTCCGACGGGTCTGGGAAGTCGAGCGTCAGACACACATGGAGGACGTCGGAGCTTTGCGGAGGAAGTCGGAGGTGTCCAGCTGTAGCGGACGCAACGCCGGGAGCCTCTCGATGCTTCGAGCCCTTCGATTTGAGCCCTGTCCAATGGTGTGTCCAAGGGTCTGAGTCTGAGAGTTACCACGAGTTGCGTTCACTCTTTACCAGTGGGGCGTTCCAGTCCGCCCTTCTCCCCCACCCCCACCCAGGGTTCGTGTCACAGTCATGTCCATTGGACCCTGCCCCCCTGCAAAAGTGGATTCAATGGTTTCCCACTACAGCACCCTGTTTCCAAAGAACTGGCTCCAGTGGTTCCAGTTTCTCCCACATTCCAGTTCAGCTTGAATAGGCCCAAATGATCCCAAATGATGAACATTCTCACTTGTCTAAATGCCTCTTGCAGGACCGGGGCTTGGGGATATGTTCCAAGGATTCTGTTCAATGTTGCATAGACACAAGGAATCACCCCGCAAGGCCTTGTGTCAGGGCACAGCGCGCCATGTTCAGCTGCGCTCTGTTCGACGAGACCCACCAGCAGCCATGGCCAGGGCCATGGCATTGCTGGGTCGGTAGCTTCTGCTGTACTGTAGTGGGGATGTGAACGACTAGGAGTGTTCTTAACACTCAGCCGGTTCGGATCGGATGAAGAGAATGTGAAGCAACGTGTTAGGAATCCAAAAAACATTGATGAAAAGCTAGGTTCAACAGGTTGGGGTAGGCGTTCAATTTCTGCAGTTCCAACTACATTAATCGAGCCTTAGTGAAGTTCTATATATTGCAAATCCGCAGAAACCTCAACGCTCAGGTTAACAGGGGATCTGAAATGGGGTGCTGCACTAAAAAGAGGCATTGGGGCCTAATGTTTTCAAACGAAGACGGAGACTCGACCATGTATCTCAAAGAGATACTGAGCTTTCCCCTTGTCCATGCCCTCTGACCGCCTTTGACTGCCCATCACTGTTCGTTCAGGTGATGAATGATGCTGGTCTTTTCACCTCTTGGTCCAAGTGCCCCAGTATCATCAGCTGTGGTGGCGCCAAGCTCAAACGCTGCTGCGAGACAACACACGTTGTGATCCGGCTGTGGCCGCTGTGGCTCACGGCATGGAGTTCTCCAACCGGTCCAAGCCCACGATCATCAGGAGAAGAGTGATTTTGCTTCCAAAATTCTCAGGAAATTACAGTAAATCAAATAACAAGGAATCACCTTTGACCAAGACCCCCACTTCTAGCTCCTCCCAGAATTCTCTGAGACGACATTGATGACCTCCCACACTATTCCACTGAGCTCCCAAACAGCTAAGGAGGCCTCTGCCGGCACGTTCCCCACCGCCTGACGAACCGGCCGGGCCAGAGTCCGCGCCATTGGTCCGGGCACCGAACGGCGCCAAACGGATTGGTACAAAAGCCAAGTCATTCGACCATTCGACCATCACTCCTGCTCAAAATTCTGCTCACTTGGTAGGAAGCTTTGCCCGAAACAATCCGCGGAGTATGGAAGGTTCTGATTGAAATATCGAAATATCTTGGGCTTCGCGGCTTCTGGCATCAAACGAAACGGATCTTCGGATCTTCAACAAACGGGCAAAAGGGAGTCGCGGTGACCCAGTCTAGGACATCTCAGAAGGCCCAGTCTGACAAGTCCTTCAGTGAGGGAGTTCTTCCCAGTTGGATATGGTTCCGGCATTGGTCACCGAATCAGTCAACTGGTCAGACGGTCTGGGCCATATCTGAACCATTCAAATGAAAATCTCCACTTTTGCATCCCACTCCCTGGAAGTGGAATATATATATATATAGACCCCTTGAAGACCAGTGTCCTCTACAAAACAGGTGGTGCGCACGAACCGGCGCATCGACACGTTCCCGTTTCGCGCCGTAGAGCTCAAAGCAGATCGCGACATGAGTTGTTGAAACGTAGGATGGCGGTCGATTTGTGTCAACATTGTGTCAACTGGTGCCTGAAAAAGAAAGACCCGACCCAATCCCTTGTTTTCAAGGATGGAAGATGGATGCCGATCTGCCATCAAACGCCAGAGGTCCCACCAGCAAGACTGGACGAAACTTGCCCTTCCGCCTGTGGCAAGAGCTGTCCCAACTCCGCTGCCTCGGAGGTCAGAGGAAACTGCCCAGAGTGGGATGAGATCCAAATGATCCAGCTCAGCCTCCACATCCCCGTACCATCCCCGTACCCGAGTGTTTTGGGACCGGGTTTCCCTGAGAAGGGCGGGTTTCCTCCAGTGCTGATCTTCGTCCGATCCCAGATGAACCGAGCGTTCGCTTGCACACCTGGACGTTCCTTCGGGTTCCTGGATGCTCAGAGCGTGACCGAGCAGAGCAACATTCCAACGATGGAAAGTTGCGTCGGACTGTGTCGGAACCATCACAAAAACCAACCCCTTAACATGGGGATACTTCGACCAAAAAACACGATATATACAGGCAACACGACAAGGCCTCAATCCTTCAAAAGCCACATGTCCATCATTGCCCTCGTTGTACTTTTCCGTCGCAAAGTGCGAAGCGTTCCATGATGAGATCCATCAACGCTTCGCACGACTCGGGCACCGAGTTCGGAACGGAGGGACCGAGTTCGCTCCGCCCCGTTCCCGCAAGTAGGGGGAGGCGACATGTCTCTGAAGCGATGTCTCCACCCAAGGCGCCATGGCAATCACGTGCCGGTCCATCCACCTGGAATGGTGCCGCTCGACCGCACGAGAAGGCCGATGGGCCGATCGGTGAAAGGCGTGGGGTTTTTCTTCGGACACCGAAACTCACCTGGCCCAGAAACCGAGCCGATCCCATCGATCGAACGGCGGCGAAGGTGGAGGACCAGCCACCGGCCAGGCCGGTGGACAGCGTCCATAGCTGGTTGGAGAGTAGAGGTTCTTCTTCGTGTCTTGCACGCAAATGCCATGTTCCCAACTGGTTCTTCTCCATGATCTGCTGCAGCTCGTCATCGCGTGTTTGTCACGTCGTGCATGGCTGTGGTGCATCACTTTCGGATGCACTGGGTACTCGAACCGTTCTCAAAGGAGCACCGGTCGGTCCCGCCATTTTCCAACCTCCAAACCGAACCGAAGGCTTGTACCATGAATGCCCAAGTTCGGGGATCGATTTCCCTCTCAAAATAAATAATAGCAGGTATCTTGACACCCAAATCCCATCTAAGACTACTAAGACTAGTAACTAGTAGATTCTTGACACTTCCCTTTCTTAAGCTATAGTAATTCTTTTGACCCCCCAACCAAAGGATCTGAGAACCAGCAATAGTGCCACGCACCGCGCGTTTGGCGTTACGCGTCTGTGGGGACGCCACCCACCTGCGCGCCACCGGCAGCATGCTTTCCGCATGCCTTCCCAGGAATCGAGCACTGGATCGCCCAAGTGGGAGGAGTCTGTGAATGGGTGTGCATTTTAAGAGGGAGACACTCCAAAGGGTTTTGGATGGTTTGGGATAGTTGTGGTCAGGGTTTTGGATGATTTTGGTCAGGGTTTTTGGGTGGTTTTGGATGGCTTTGGTCAGTGGTTATAGTGGAAAACTGTGTCTTCGCGCAAAAGAGGAAATACCCGAAATCTCCAGAGCGTCAGACCGTCGGACGTTTGGAAAGATGGTATCTTCGGTGTAGAGCTTTGAGAGATTCTACGTGTGTTCGGCCGAGCCACGACATTCAATGGAACGAATCATACCAAGATAATAAAACAGCATGTACAGCCTATGGCACCCCGAAACACAACCGTATCCGACAGTGCTAGCTTCTGAAGGGATAGCATTCTACACCTCTGAAGAAATACATAAAACCTGGCAACACACCCCTCCCACAAAAAATGACATGTGTCCTCTACAAACGACACTGGCATCAGCCGGTGGCCACCTTGCAGAAGTGGATCCTCCCAAGATAATTCGAAAAAGCAGGCCAGGGGCATCAATGGGGCATTGGTCATCAGAAACAAAGTCAAACAAATTGTATATCCAACTTTGATGTGGTTGATTCATGTTGGCGTCATGTTGATTCATGTCGATTCATGGTCAGCCTATATACTTCCAACGTTTCTCTTTCGAGCCACCGCATTTCACGGCTGAAACCATCGGAACTCCTTTCCCCCCCGATTCCGAGACCTTCGTGACGACTGGTGTGCATGCTTGTGCTTTTGTTCCTTCACTGATTCCATGATGCAGCGGATCGCCATCCTTCCAACAGGGCAGCAAGTTCATGATGTTCATGGTGTATGGCCAAATCCACAGGGTCCGTGCCACCAACGCCGGTGGCCCCAGGCCTGCCAGGCCCCAGAATGTCTGCATCTGCCTCAAGCAAGCTTCGCACCACCTCAATGTGGCCACGTTGGATTGCCCAGCGCAAAGCTGTTGCACCATCTTCATCCACAGCATTCTTTTCGGCGCGAGCCGCAAGTAGACTTTGCACCGCTTCCAAGTGGCCACCGAGGGCTGCCAAGTGCAAAGCTGTTGAGCCATGTTGATCCGCGGCATTCTTTTCAGCTCCAGCATCGAGTAGACTTTGCACCAGTTCCACGTGGCCAGTGAGAGCTGCCAAGTGCAAAGATGTCGCTCCCAATTGCAAGGCAGCATTCTTTTCAGCACCCGCCTCTAGCAGACTTCGCACCACTGCGGAGTGGCCATTCCCAACTGCCATGTGTAAAGCTGTTGTGGCACCTGATGCAGCAGCATTCTTCTCTGCGCCAGCTTCAATCAGCAGTTGAACCACTTCCAAGTGGCCAATCCAAGCTGCCATGTGCAAAGCTGTTGCCCCACTTGATGTGGCAGCATTCTTTTCTGCACCAGCTTCAATCAGCATTTGGACCACTTCCAAGTGGCCATTCTCAGCTGCCCAGTGCAAAGCTGTTGTGCCATTTGTTGCCACAGCGTTCTTTTCACTGCCCGCCTCTAGCAGACTTTGCACCACTTCCAAGTGGCCATTCCCAGCTGCCATATGCAAAGCTGTTGCCCCGTCTGGTGCCACTGCAGTCGTTTCTGCACCAGCTTCTATCAACATTTGGACCACCTTCAAGTGCCCGTTTTCGGCGGCTGCATGCATCGGTATACTGCTGCCCTGTGTAGTATCTATCACGTTCGGATCTTGAGGGGACTGGAGCATCTCTTCCACTTGGGTCAAGCGGTTCTCCCGACAAGCTGAAATGAATGCTTCATTGGCTGCATCGGAAGAATGCAAATCCAAGACAAGGAGCTGCAAGCTCATAGGGATCATCATCTCTGCATCTGCTGTCAAGACTGTCAAGGGATCCTGATCATTCAACTCGCCCATCTGCATTTCAATTAGTCTCAGTTGAAACCTTGAACACCCGATTTGAGCTGCCAGGAGTTGCTTGAGTGCCCTCACAGGCTTCTCGCTCTGCAAGATCGGCCCAAACTCCTACAAGATCGCAGGACTGGTGTTTCAGGCGTTTGGGCCGATCAAAACAGCTTGGTCAAAACCAGGAGACGAGACCACACGACTTGCGCAACACACTGAAAAAAATCCCCTCCCCATACCCTTGGCACTAGGGAGCAGTGCCGGGTGTCAAGGTGATGAACAAAAACCAAAGGCACGATGTTTGCAATATTGCTACGTAAGCGAAACCGAAAGCGAGTGCCGGTGACGTCAAAGCGCGGGGTGGTCAAACCCGTGACACGTCCGGTTTCCCCCGGCCAGGCATCTAATTTACAAGACAGACAAGACAGAGTCTATTGGCCATGAATTGTGCAGGTGCGAAGTATCTATCGCAAAAAATGGATCATGAATCTGTGCGTACGCAGTATACGGCTTTTTATTCCGTTTTTGCATCCCAAACCTTCCACTGGAGCTTATGTCTGTTGGAACGCGATTTTTGGTTGTTGTGGAATGGGAGCATTGGTGCTTTCGAGATTGGAAAGTCGGAATGAAATGGTGGGTTTTGATTTGACTCAATCTGGTATTGGAGTGCCCTTGTCGTCGAAATGGCATGCCTCCACAGATTTGTCGGAATCCTAACCTCTCCAAGCCTTTTGCGTTTTGTTGCTTGAATTTTGGTTTAAGAGAGATTCCTGCAAATGCTTCGTTTTGTGCCTAGCTAACTATGTCAGGAATAATTCTGCTGGTCCTTTCATCCGGAGCGTTTGTTGCTTTGTTTGTACTTCCAATGTTTTTACATCATAGAGCAGCTTGCTTGCGACGGCACTCAATGTCTTTGATGGTTTGGTCGAATTCGGCATGGTCTTGGTTCCTGCATTGGACTGCTACTCTATCAGCTGATGCATTACCCTTAATACTTCAGAGAACCTGCTAGGATCGTGCCTCTTGCAGCCAAGAGATGCATATCCTTTTGTGCTTCGTATGTTTGATGGTACACCAGCTAGACCGACCGGTTGACCTATACGGAGTCAGATCCTTCGCGGCCTATACCGGAGCCACCCGTGGACGTCGCACGATCGATGGACCTCCGCCCTGACCCACTGAGGCACGGAGGAGGTGGTCAATTGCAGAAGCGAAGATAGTTCGATTCTGGATGATGAATTCAATGATTGACCTAATGTAGACTCTTGATGAATCAACCGCCCCCTGTGAAGAGGTTCTTCAATCCAAATGGGATGAGTCTACGATGGCATGCTCCTCCTCTCGAAGTTCAGCAACCTTTGCTCCAGTCACCGCCGACAAAATCTGCAACATGACATGAGATCTTGCCCCAGCACGCGCAAGATAAGGCACCGCTTTGGGTGCCCAGCGGTAGATCCAACGAGCCAGCTCAGGAGACACATGTGTAGAGTAGATCATATATAATAATCATACTAATTGATCCACTGCACCACCCCGAATGCATCGTGGTCATGTCCTTCCCCAAATCCACCTCCCATGCATCACCCCGAATGCATCACGGTGGAGATCCCGTTAGAAGCTCCGCCTCTCCAGTAGCAACAGCGCACTGTAAGACTCCGTCTTGAGAGCCTCGAGGTCGAGTGAGCATGTGGGACCCACCCGGCTGCTGCTGGACCCACCCGGCGGAGGACCGAGGGTCGAGCGAGCTCCTTCGCTTCGCTTCGGGGTCTCCAGGGTCCGATCCGCGAACTTCCTCGGGTGAACTGGTCGGGCGTCTTCCTTTGGGTTCCAATGTGGGAGATCGATTGGCCAAATGATATGGCTGGGGGTCAAAAGCAGGAGACCTTCGTTGACCTACCGACGCCACAGGTCAAGCTCTATGGTGGACTGGTCGGGCTCCACTGACCCCAGCTTCTGGAAGGCTCTGGAGGCGTGAAACCCACAGCTTTGATGAGTCCTCTTTTTCGGAACATGTTCTCTTATGACTTCTTCTGGGCCCAAGAAAGGCCCACACGGGCCGGGGGGTCAAGCTGGACGCAAGGTGAACATGGCTCCATCCTGTTGGTTGACTTCTGCATGAACAGTGCTTTGACCCACAGCTATTGACCTCTCTGCTTTGTCCATGATGGTCCTATTGGTGCGTTTGCTTCAGGCCAGGCTGCAAGCGTCTCGAGAATCTGCTGGATTGGATGCGCGCACTTGCGAGTCTGACGCAACCACAAAACTGTCCCTTGTTCTCAGGTGGAAAGGGTACAGGTGGATTGGATGATCCAACAGCACAACAACACTCCCCCTCCCCCCAGTTCCAAGCGGCTCCAAGTACATGTCTCATGGTCGGATGCCAATGCAAAAGTCTTCAACAGCGAACTGGACGCTTAACTCCATGCCTGGCCCCCTCGCGCCCAGGTGGCCTCCTCCAACTCTGCGAGGCTCATGTGCCGGATGGGCGCTGAGGTCATGCGCTGGCGCGAACGCGAGCGCTGACAGTCACGGTAAAAATCGCTGCAAACCGCTGAATTTGGGGGGTCGTGACAGGCCTGGTTGGATGTGAACAGACTGGTGCTTTGGGCAGCTCTCCGTCCCCCACATCTCGGGGGTTTGGAATAAAGCTCAGCTCTTCGTGGAGTCCTGCTTTTCACCCACGGAAATCAATTCGCCCAGGCGTTTCTAAAGGTGTTATAACCGGAACGGCTTAGACGTGGAGGGAAGCAGGGGATTGGTTAGACAACCTGCAGGAGGGCGCGGCCTGGGATGTCCAGGGCTCTTTGAGAAACAGATGTCTTCTGTGCCCCAGCTTGGCCTTGCATTTCGCCTCCGATCTTGACCGCAAACCCATATGGTCTTTGTGCAGGTTCGACCGATCATCGGTGGGCGGATCCAGACCTTCATCTTATATTGTGAAGTCTTTCCACTGCAAGCATCCCCGTTCTTAGGGAAGTCCAAGTTCTCATGTTGGTGATTTGGAACCAGTACTTTGCCCCCATGGATGTCCACCGAAGAACCTGCAGTGTTGCGCTTTCTCATGGTCTTTTGAATGCCAGCACGCCCCAATCAACATGCACCCACATGCTCCCTTCACATCCTCTAAGGTGTGCAACTCTGTGCCAGGCACACCCTGGCATAGCGCAAAAAGCCTTCGATGCTCCGATGTCCCCTGCCAGGTGGCCACAGGGCTCAAGAAACGAGTTCCCCCACATCATGAACATGACTCAATCGAGGCTTTTCACAGAGAGCGAGCAAATGACGTAAATTTTGATTTTTTGTTTTTTCAGTCACTCTGACAGCCACTTGCAGCCACTTGCTCAGGTTGCCACTTGGCAGCCACTTGTCACTCAAGCAAGTAAACTTCAACACTGTACTTTGAGCTCTTTATGTAAAAACTGTAATTGTTTGACAAGTGTGGGACAGCACTCACGGCATGAAAGCTCGCAAAGAAGCAGGAAGAAAGTTCAACGCTGTAAGATTTCTTCGTCGCTAGCTCTGCAGAAGTTTGGAATCTATTTTCGGAAAAGTCTTGGATTAGTTCATGATTTCTCCGCGCGCAGCTCGGGAGAAAACAGGAATGTCTTCGCAAAACAGCATTGCAGAAATCGTGTTTTTCTTCAGAACTGCGTGCGGAGAAATCATGATATTCTCCGGACAGAAGTAGCAGTCACTTGCAGCCACTTGCAGGCAAGTGGCTGCAAAATGGAAAATCAAAATGCGCACCTCCTGCGAGCTCAATGACTTTTCAGCAATTTTTGTACCTTGCTGCAGTCGTAGAAAAGCTGCGTTGGGTTTGAGTGACCTGTTCTAAAGTTGTTCGGATTTCGGCAGCTCTTCACTGCTAAGGATGCTAAGAGGATTCACTCCTCGATCCCCACCGATCCATCTCCCGATCCAACCCGATTCAGCTCCGCCTGAAGTTTTGCGGCGGCCGCTCCTCCTGAAGAAAAAGGTGGCACCCGCAAGCGACACACTGCGACAAGCTAAAGGAAGAGGACCTAGCTGTAAAAAACCTTTGATGGCAATGTTTGTTGAATGAGCGACAGTAGATTGAAGACAAATCGTTTGGATCAAAGCATTCTAGCCTAGCTTTCAAGGAGTGATGAACAAAGGTAGAAAGAGGAAATTGTATTAGTACGAACAGGTACAGATTGACAGGAAAAAGAAGGTTCTCAAAAATGAAGAATCCAATACATTTGCAATAAACCGTGTCTATTTCAATGTGCGCACATGTCCAAGGCTACTTTTCCTGAGTGATTGAACAGTCGAGCTGTTGGATCCGGTGACCATAAGACCAACAATTGGCACACACCTGGTGGGAAACGATGCAAACCCATGCCAGCATTGCAAGAATTCCCAGATAGGGATGGCAACTCACGAATTACCAAACCACCAACTTAGAACATTCCCTTGAGAAATGTCCCTGCCTCACCAAGCAACCAACCAAAATGCACCACGAGTTCGTCCGTTTCGGCGACCCTGGTTCGAATTCCTGAAGCGCAACGCGTTCATGGCCCATGTCTGAATCGATCGTCCAATCGTTCAATCGCCGGATTTTTCGATGTCATGATGCCAAATGTCCAACTCAAGTCATTGATGGTCCAACTCATCTCCCAAAATCTTGCATCATCAAGTCATTGGTCATCTACCCCGTTCACCCGTTGGTCGAGGTGACGGAACAAGTCCGCATGACAGCCGGCTCTCGAGCGAGCCACCCCACCCTGCCGCCTCCCTGTCCGGAAAACCAATGCCTCTGGAAAGAAGAACTTGATGGTCGGATAGCCCTGCACCTCAAACTTCTGGCAGAGTGCCTGGCGGCAGAGTGGCGAGTTCTTCATTTGATCAGCTGTAGACTCCAGACATATCGGTGAAACTGGATCGACGTAAGCAAAGGCAGAACCAATGCACGGGCCAATGATCAAGAGGGATCATAAAAATTGGTCTGACGTTAAAAATATGGGTCTTCCCATGCAAATACCACGGTATCGGTATTTAATGATGAAACATGTAAACATTGCCTATCTCATCAACAAACATGGCAAAGCATGGGTCTTTTAATAGAACAAACGAATCAGATTTGATCAGTTTCCCACAGTGATCATTCTTATCCGATGCAGCACCGCAGGATTTTCCCGGTCTTCTGGGCCTTGGGAATCAGAGGATCACTGAGGGCAAAGAGCCACCTACTCTGACCACAAACTCTAAGTCACTTATAACTTATAACTTCACCACCGCAATCAGCCTTTCCACCCATCCCAAAGATACCCCTTCTTTTCCCGCGCATCTGTGTCCAGCACTACCGCCATGCTGCACTCGCATGTGAACCACTAAGGTCACTCAAGCACCACACCAAAACGACAAGCATCGCAGCACCTCAGCGCGAAGGAACTCGGAACTCGCCTGGCCTTCTTTTTGGACTCGGTGGGGTGTCATTGCTGCCCTTGCAAGATCGGCATTTCCTGACAAAATATGGTGGAACCCTGGTCTAAGACCTTCTGTCAAGTCCAGGTAGGAAATCCCAGTAGACCCTAGACCCCAAGTCTGTTGTGGCTCAGGCGATCCGCAGCGTTCACGCACGCGACCGGGCACCTTTTTCGACGCAGATCGGACCTCACTCCCAGTCCTCATCGTCCTCCTGCCGGCAAAACGCGCGCCCACGCGTCTGCTTGCACGAGCGCTTGTTGCGCGAGGCTTCGTTTGGCGCCCGAAGACCCCGGTGAGTCGGTCGAGCGCAAAACGAGCTCATTCGCTCTGCAGAAGGCTTCTACTCCAAGATACTCCCAAGACCGTGAACGGGTAGACCACTCGTGTGAGTCGAAAGGGTAGACGGAGTTCGCAATGGCCCCACAGCCCCACCGGCCTCCTCAGGCTCCTTCTGCATGGTCTCTCGCAGCTTCTTGAACTTCTCACTGCCGGTGAGCACATCCATGAGATTCTCAGGCCTGTCCAGTAGCGCGGAGCTGAGTTTCACGCCAGGAAACAACTCAGCCGCCAATCGCCTTGCACACAGATATACGCGCTTCCAAGTCAGTAGGCGTGCAAGACTATGTCAAACGTGCTCTTCATAGAAAGTATGTAGATGAACCGGTCTTCAAGAGATATTCCTTCACTTCAACTGGGTAGCTCTATATATATATATACATTATATATATATATACATTATATGTACCCTTTCAGGAAATTCCTGTTCTTCGGGTCTCCCAGGAGTCTGGCCACGGTCTTTGTACCTCGGCCATGGCGTTTTCCATCGAACGGCCCCGCGCTCTTCGTCTCGGCGCCTCTCTTCCTTCACCTCGGACGTCCGCTCCTTGGGCGGGCTCAGTTGCACCCCTGCCTGGCCGGCGCGAGCCAAGCAGCGCCACTCGCACCACACCCAAGAAAACACGTGCAAAAAGATCCCGTTTTTCAGAAACGAAGCGCAGGGCTTCGGCTTCCAAATCCACAAGTGTCCCATCTTTTGAAGATGCGATGTCGTGGTCAAATCTACGCAAGGCCACCGGCCCTTAAGATCCTGAAAAGCGCGCCTCAATCTCACCCAGGAGCTTGTCCCGCGTGGTCCGCGTGTCTGGCTTTGGCTTCCTGATTGTATTCGTCGCAATGCAAACCAACGAAGTTCGCCGAGCTGGACCAGGTCGAGGGTTTTGCCAGGGGTTTCCCAAAACGAGGAGTGAAAAGCCAGGACGAATCTGAGTTGGCAGCTCATGTCCACCAATGCCAGGCTCTTGGAAACAGAGGAACTGGAGCCGTGCAGGTAGGTTCTGAGGCTTTCCTGCGTGTAGAACAGAAACATCGTAGACCAATGGCATCCAATGGCGTGCACAGTTTCCCCCAAAATAAAATAAATCCTCCTTGTTACTAGTAGCGATGGCCTCCCAAAAATAATCCTCACTTTCGTCACGTCCTTCCCAATTTGAGCCGGCGCCCCAAAGCACCCAAGTCCCTCTTCGGCCGCGTGACAGCTGCCGCTCCTTGGCAGGTTTCAGCTGAACTGCCTTCAGCTGACGACGGGTTCGGTCGGGTTCGGTCGGAATCAGGGGGCCCGAGACGCGTGGCTTTGCGGAGCGGGAGCGTCTCGAAGCGGTTCTTGAAACGAAGAAGGTTGGATATAGAAAAGGCAAATTAACAGGGGCGCATCAAAACTTTTACAACAAGATTCATACTTAAAAAAGCCCCCCGCCCAAAAAAAAGAACCGCCTTCAGGGCAGCTGATAGAGGTGAGGAGGACTTCTTCGTGGTCTTGGTGGTCTTCTTCAGCGGCTTCCCAGCCTCTGCCCAGCAGAAGAGTTGAAGGGCACTCCAACCCCGGAGTCAACGAGTTTGCTTAGAATCTGTCACTTACTTCCTTTACATGAGCTGGCTAGCCACAATGTTCGATAATTCTTACAGTAGTTCTCCTTTCCTCCCAACCACTTGTTGCGTTCGGGTCAACCCACACGTCCCCCTTCAGCGCGGACGCGCCCGGGCCTGTGCGCGGATGCCGGCCAAGAGGTTGGCCGGCGCCGCGCGCCGCGCCGGTTTCTTCGGGGTGGGCTCTTGAGGCTCTTCAGGTTCGCTGGGCTCTTGCGGCTCCGGAGGCTCTTGAGGCTCCGTAGCCTGGAGAAAGGCGACTACAAAAGCCACGCAGACCCCAGCCACGCAGACTACAAAAGTGCCAAGGCTTGCTTCGACGGTCCCACAACAACCTTTCAAAAGCGAATCCAACAGCTTCCAAGTGCACACGGCTCTCACGCACTTGGAGACACAGGCCATCAGAACTTTGCAGCATGTAACCGATCACGGATGGTTGACCGGTCCCCCGGTTCCCATGCGTTCCCATCTCTTTGGGTGGGATGCTCATCCCTGGCCTTGAGCATGGTTCCCTGGCGGATCGATTCCAAGAGCTTCGAACGACCTGGTGAGACTGCTGGATGCAGCTGAAGAGAGCTTGGGATTGACAAGCTTGGGGGATTCTCGTGTCTTTTCTCAGCTGGGCTGCAGAACGAAACAAACACATACAATAAAGCTCGAAAAAGGTGTCATTCCTCTGAGCAGCCCTTCAATTGCATACCCCCCCCCCCCCCCGCCTGACTGGTGCTCCTCCGGCTCCTTCGGCTCCTTTGGCTCCGTGAGCTCTTCCGACTCCTGGGACTCGCCCGTCCCCTCCTCGCCTGCGAGCGCAGGCGTCGCACCGGTGGACCCACCCGCCCAGACAAGGACACCACCCCAAGCCTCAAAGGCCAACTCCCTTAGGTCCGCTTCTTCCCCACAAGAAGGACAGCAACTCCGCATGAAGTCCAAGACCCCCCCTTTTCCGGCAACACACGCGGCCCGCGGTGGGAGCCTGTGGACTCTTGCTCCAAAGTTTGGAGATCCGGCTCCTCCGATCCGCCTGTCCAACGTATTCCACGCAGAATGAGTTTTTTTCGAAGACAGAGGTGAAGGATGTCATTCGAAGTTACGACGTTCCGTAGCGTTCTGCGCGATTTCGCATGATCTTGCAGGGTTCGCAAATCAACATCCACTTGATGTACTGCATAACAATAGAGGCAGCGGCATCGCCCCAAATCCGGGAAAACTAAAAGAAATTCAATCTTTCGAAGCAAATGACGACGATCGTGTTGAAAACGGCTCATGGTTTTCTGGAAGTGAGCCCGAATCCTGAAACATCATAGCAGAATCCTGGCTTGGCCGACAAAGGTTCTTGCAAAATAGCCTTGAAAGAAGATCGGGCTTTTGCACATATCTCTCTGGCCGTATCAAGGCCTTTTGTCAATGGCGCGCCTGCTGACTGCGGCTCTTCCTCCTGCTCCGGCTCCTGCTGAAGACCCTCACCAAAAAGCATCCCATCTTGAAATCAAACAGGAGATTAGCGAGGCCAGTGCGTTATGCAGTTGCAGGGAGTCCTGTCGGAGGCAGCCTTGGAGTCCGGCTCAAGAGATCAGGACGATCCGCGTCGGTCCGTGTCGGGCGTAGAAGAGACGTATGTGGTTTTTGGTTCTGTCCACTGTTAGAGTCTGGCAAAGTGACAAACAAACACCTATCAAGTCTGGGAAGTGCATGAAGCTTCACAGCTCCTTTTTACAAACCTTTTTGGGAAACACATGATTGGTGTTGTAGCTTCCTCCAAGAAAACCTTCAAAAGGCTGTGATGTCATCGACCCTCCGCGCCTCCGAAGGCACGGCCTCCGTCTCCACCTCCGTCTCAGCCTCGCAGGCCCGCGCGGGCGCCTGGCGCGCTTTCAAGCGCCACGGGGGTTGAGGAGGGATGCCACGCATCCACGAGAAGCGGATGCTTTTTGGCAAAAATGTAAGGCTCCACACCTTATTGGAGACCTCCTCCACGTTAGCGCCACAAGGTTTAAAGCAATGGAAGCTGTGTACACTGAAATAAACCTGACTCCATGTTCTTCAAAAGCTCTGATCTGGCACTTGAATCTCAGATTCCTCAGCACTCAGGGTTTGGGCTTTACGGCTTAGGGTCCAGATCCTATAAGCAACAGCATGCATGTTTGCTTTGAGTCGCCGTTGAAGGGCCACTGTTGACCCCGCCACTGTCGACACGCCGCATGCAGCCTCATGGTGAATGCCACTCTTGTACCAGGACGACTCCATCTGGACAGGGCGCAAATGGCAAATCAATTGGGGGCTGGGACACCCCCCAAAAACCTGGCCAATCCCAAGTTGCATGTTTTTTGCCACACCCAAAGAAGTCAAATGGAAGGGCACAAAAGGCCGTAGGACTCCGTAGGCCTGTCACCCGTCCCCGTGGCCGACGCTTGCTCACGCCTGAGCATTCTTCTTGCACTTGCCATTCTGCTGACTCTGGCAGCAGCACACCCAAAGCCCTTCGCCATTCCTCAGGTCGGTGTGCACTCCAAGGAGGACAGTTAGGACCATTCCCGTTTCAGGCAGGTTGGATGCCTACAAAAACAGGTCTGGGCAAGAACATCATCAACCACCTTCAAACCTCAATCACGGCTTCCACCCTAACCTTCAGCGTCAACGGCCGTCCAAACAACCAAAGAAACTGACCCGCCCCATCGTTATCCTATTCCCACTCTGCCCTGGGCCACGGCACTTCCTGGGAAAGCTCACCACCTTGGGCTTCACCTTGTCCAGCGACGACGCATCGATCTCCACCCCCAGTGTCTCCTCAACGCAGCCGCGACGGCACGGGCGCACGACGGCGCGCGATCCCTCAGAGGGCGAAGTCCAAGCAGCGATTGGCTCTGCGATTGGCTGAGCGATTGGCCGTGGCCGAGGGATCTGGTGGATTTGCTGGTTGCAGCGGGGCGCTCTGCCATCCAAAAGACTTCCTCCAACCTCTTGAGTCGGTATTTCATGGAGCAATGAAATTCAGGATGGCCCACAAAGAAGACTACACAGTGACGGACAGCAATGCTGGCATATATAGCTAGGTCACATGAGAATAAAGCCAGACTTAACTATATACACCAGCTTTCTTTCGCAGGGCGTTTCGATGAGTCATCACAAGCTACTCACTAACTCTCAATTCCACACCTCTCTATGTTTAGAGAAAAACTGCAGCAACTTCCTCGCCCTCTCCCCAGCAGCTCCTCCATTTTCGAGAGCATGTCTTTCAAAGCCTTGCACGCGGAAGACACCGCGAGGACTACTGAGACAAGGAGGGACAATGACTGTTATCGAATTGTTGTCCAACCACCCGGCAAACTGCGAAGGATGTCAAGTAGATCTGCCCACAAGACCTTGTCCCCCAACAGCCACACAGCCGCATGGCGCACACACCAAAACGGATCAAAACGGCGATTGGCGCGCCAACGGCATCAACGGCGTGTCCACCTATCGCGTCCAGCCTGGAGCTTCGGCTGGAAGAGCTCTTCCAGGCGCTTCTGGGCAGCACCCTGTGCCAACTGCCAGTTCAGCGCCTTGCCCTGAAGCATTCCGTTCGACGATGAGACTCGCAGTGGAGCAAGGGAACCAACAGTCCACCACTAGAGACTAAAACATCCAAAGCAAACTCCTCAGCAAATTTCATCAAATTTCGATTGTTCAACTGGAGCACAGCCAAGAATTCAGCTTGATTGGTGGCCAAATGTCTTACAACATCACAACCTTCGGGTCTAGAGCCTGCACGCCACACTGATACTTCTTTCGTTTCCTCCATAAACGTCATGTTCGCCGCGAAACCAAAGCCCGCCTTATCGCACTTGCAGTATCTCCCGTTCGTCCTCGACGCGTGCACGTACGGCCGCTGGCAGAACGGGTCCGCCGGCAGCGGGACGCCGTCCAGCGCCGACTTCGGCGCCAGCACGCCCACCTGCCACGCACAGTAGACGAGGGTGCTTTACCATGCATTCAACGACACTGGCATCGTCGGGTCTTATGTAGCTCTATCTGCTCTCTGACTTGGCAGCTAGCAGCTGGCACCAAGCCACTCCCAACCCGACCACCAACCCACACCTTGTTGTCACAGCCACAAGGTACGGTGCCCATCTCCACTTGCGCCATGCGACCACTGAGGCCAGGCTCCACAAGGCTGAGCACCAAGCCTTGGGAGAAAAACCCAACACCACAGGTCTCCAGCTGCCCCCGACCTCTGCAACTGGCCTAGCTGATCCTGCTGAGTACTGGAAACATGCAGCGCCGTGGGAAAAAATCATAGCCATATACATTCCTAGACTATTTCGATCCTATCCTGTGAAGCGCGCTCCGCACTTTTTCTCAAGACCTGGTCGGGTCCGAAGCTTGTATGTCGTACAGACTATTTGCGCGATCGCTTCCCTACCAGCTGATTCCATGCCAGGTCACCCCTAACCAGGCATCATCTGGCAACTCCAGATATCACCCGCCCCCCCTGAACTCAGGGGGCACTGTCCAGTACTCTGGATCGGAATCAACTGCGCGTGGCTCACGCTGACCCCGGATGACTAGGCATCCTTCAAGATTGGGGAGTACCTCACAGAGGGTCGCCAATCAGGGTGGGTCAAATTGAAAACTTGGGAGGGCTCAAAAAGAAGAACCTGACACTTGAGCCAAAATGGTGTCAGGTTCTAATCACTCTGAGGAATGACCACTGTCCACCCTAGGCCTGCCAAACCTGAGACAGTAATACCAAATGGACTGAGGGTTCATCCCCAACAACGACTCACTCCATCCTCAACAATCTCTTCCCTCGAGTGATAGCGCCACACGCACGATGCCATATGTTGTTCTCTGCCCAGCGGCTCCACAGCAATGTGGACTTCATCGACGTCTAGTATCTAAGAGACAACGTATTCTCAGGGGTTACAACACCCTGGGTCTTGAGCCACGAGTTCACCAGCGCCAAGAGTTCAAGCAGTTTAACATGTGCTTGGCGGTATGCAATGGTAGCATTGACCATGCATGTCATCTCAACAACATATCACAAAAGCCTTCGATTCTGAAGTGGGATTCGGGCGCCAAACTACTCCATCCCTGGTGAACAAAATACCACCTGAAGTTGGAAAACCTGGACCAGAGCGCATCACCTGCACGGTGAGGAAGAAAGGATTTCACCTCACCCACCAAACCCTCCCCACCTAAGGTGCTTGGCCCTCCGATGATCCCAACATATGGCAAAAGGTCATGCATGGTCATGGCAAAAAAGAATTGACACTTTGTCGATTGAGATGAAAAAAGTCTTTGCAGCTCCTATCCCCCAAGCCCGGCACTGGCCACCCAGAGCGGTCGTTGACCGACCTTCGTGCTGGCGAGTTTGGCCCATCCGCACTACACCCGCTAGCCCTTCTCAGAATCCTGCTGGCTGCTCGAACCTCCCAATTATGGACATTTCGGGAGGGCTCCTAGACCTTCCGAAGTAGCTGAGTTACAAGTTCAAGTTGCAAAGGATCCTTTGAAATCCTTTGTCCTTGGAATCCCAAACACAATGCCCCCACCAGTTTACACGCCTCAGAAGTTGAGCTGTTTAAGAAACTAAGAATGGGGAAGTGTGGTTCCCAAGGATTCTCCAATGTCATTTCTGGAGCCTAGCAGCTAGCTGGACAAACTGGGCACTGTACTGAGAAAAAGACTTACATAAACAGTCGGACCGCAAAAGAAATATCTTCGTTCACCAACACCCTAGGCGGCCATTGGGAAGGTCCTGACTCACTTTCAAAGTTTCATGTTTGATGAACCTGGGCTGTTCTGAACGGGGTATTCTTCGTGCCATGTGTGTGTGTGTACACATATATTTATATTAAATAAAACTTTTTCTGTATGATTTATTATTTACGTGGAGAGAGAGAGAGAGAGAGAGATCAATGGGAGCTAACCCATTGTTGTCCTGACCCATTCTTTGCAGTAACCGCTCACCTTTTCGCCCGAAGTTGCGCCGGGAGTTTCTGCCCGCGACTTTGGTCCAGAGCTGTTCGCCCGAAGTCTTTTCAGGTTCACCTGGGACACATTCCGCGAGTGGGTAGACGACATGTGTCTGTGACAAGTCTGACAACCTAGGTCTAGGAAGTCTCACGCGCTGTGTTCGGGGAGCACCTTCAGCAATACCTTGGAACCTATGGAGCCATATGCCACGCGCGCAGAGGGATCAAAGCGCTTCCGCGACCTCCTGCTTGCACTCCATCTGATGCAGCTAGAAAGCTAATTATATACATTCTACATGGCTTGTTTGTCACATTAGGTCATCAAAGTCCCAACCACCCTGGTCTTCTGAAAAAAAACAACAACAAATCAAATAACGTCCCCTGACCAAGCTCCCCTCATGGCAGCCAGGTGACAGAAATGCCATGCCGCCACCGGCCATCGGGCGTCGAAGCGATTCGCCCTCCGGACCTGCCAAATGGAAGGTCCGGGGATCCTGGGAGAGAAACCCCCTGCAACCTCCCCCAGAACAGCCCCTGAGCTTAGGAGGTGCCCCAAACTTCATGCGGAGCTGCCAAGGGCGAGAGTTGGCCCCAAACGAATGGCGCAGCGATCAGGTCAGGTGCAAGTGCCCAGTATGTAACCTCATCTTTCTCGTGAGAATATCAACAAGGAACATCCGCCCTACCAAAAATGCTTGAAACCGTGGCATTCTCCATGCCAGGTGCTTTGCCGGCGCTTGCAAGCTTCCACGCCTGCCATCTTCTTTGTGCGGTTCCGAAGGGCCTCAGCCAGCGAGGACCGACTGGACCCGACCCTACACACTAGACTTGTTTCCAGCCCTACAGGTCGTTCAGACCTGAAAACACCCTGAAAACCCCTGGGCTCCCAGCAAGGTGCTGTGCAAGATCAGCCAGTTCAGAAACCTCACAGCTCCCACTCCCCTCTGGCGTGAACATCCCGGTGAAGAATGGTGAAAGCAAAAATGTTAACATTCGACTTGAAAGAACTTGGAAGAAGCTTCTCGGGGAAGGCTCTGTGCGAAGCATGCGCATCCATCAGGTCTTGCGGCGCTAGATGTCCGCTGAGGTCCAGGTATTGGGTTCTCGCGTCCAATCCCAAGAGCCCCCTAAGCCTGGTGAGAACGCTACTTTCACAAAGTATACCCCAACAAGTCTCGGTCAATGATGTTCCTCTTGTGGATCTTTGGCGCCATTTGACATTCTCATTCTCAGCTCGGCAAAATCCTGAGGAACCCCCGGGTTCCACCCCACCCACCCAGAATCGGTGCGGCACCAAGTGGCGTTCCCGCTCGGGCCATTTCGCAAGTCCTCGAGGTCGTGGAGCCACTGGTGGCCTCAGCAACGAGGGTTCCGATGTGTGTGGGAGCAAGAGTTCTCAAAGAGCTGTTGGAATCTGGAATCAAACTGCAACTGGACCACTATATGACTTTTTGACAGGTTTTCTGAACACCTGCGGCACACAAAAATGATCAAAATCAACGTTGGTATCCTGGAGATCGGGTTGAAAAGTCACATTCTGGCAGCTCCAAACCACCATGCGCGCGGCGTGTGGTGGCACGAAGCGCTTCGTTGAAACCGGGCGTTGGCGATCGGGCGCTGTTTGGATAGCCAGTGGCACTGGGTCTGTCAGGCCATGGCCGTTAAGGCAGCGCAGCACGGGCCTGTATGGATTCGCATTTAACAAGGTGTGCTATCCTTGACCATCCGAAGACGGGCGCCCGGCCGAAGACGAGACCCTCGCGAGGCCGGTCACGCCAAGCGGCGCTCCTCTGCATCGTCGGCGTCGCCCCCGGGGAGGTCGTCGCCCGTGGCCTTGGCCTCGTAGACGAGGAGCGTCTGGTCCATGCCGCCCGAGACCTCGGAAGCGCGGCCACCGCGCGGCACAATGGTGGTCGACCAAGGCGGTTTGGGCGACCAAGGCGGCCAAGGCACCAAGAACTCGCCGTTCGGTGAGAAAGCCAAGGCCAGCGGGGTGTCCTTGTGCCGCCCCAAGCGTCGCAGCCGCCGGCCGGTGGAGACCTCGTAGACCACCACCTGTGGCTTCGACAGGCGCTTCGCCAGGCACTTCACCAGGTATCGGAGCGGAAACGAAATGATTCCTTTGAGATGGGTCGGTTTTTTGCGGGGTTGAACGGGTGAGGGAAAAACTTTAACATCTGAGCAAAAACAATGGCGACCGCCAACTCCAACCGTAAGGCATGGGGTGAGTCAGGAACTATATAACTGAGCCGCTGCTCAACACTTTTCTCAAGACAAGAAGCGAGCCATACCATCCTCAACAAAGGAACAAACATAAACGGAACAGTCTACCCACCAATTCTATCCACCACCCCATCTTTTTCCAACTCACCAATTCTTCCCACCCACGGCGCACCGAGGGCGACTGCCCCACTGCGCCGTGGCAGGCGGCCACGTGCCAACCCTCTGGCGCAAACGCGACGGACCACAGCAACTGCGGGTGCCGCGCCATGCGCCGCGGAGCCTGATGGAGTGGCTTCGCGAAAAACTCCGGATCATCACCGAAATTCTACCGCGGACATCAACAAGGTCACCAAGCTCGGGGCCCTAGCTTTGCTCTACTGCAGCATGGAATGTTTTTGTCAACCGGGCTCAGCCAAGGCACCAACTCCCTACAGCGCTGCGTGCGGCAGAGGGCCACCTGCTCCGGCGACATCTGCCACAGCCGGAACCTGGCGCCCCTTCACCGGGGGTGGCAAATGGCACGAGAATGGTGCTTCTCGTTTGAGATCATCATGGTTACGTGGATGGGAACATGGCCGCAAGAAGTCGGAGGAGCACGCCGTTCCACTTCCACGTGAATGACTTAGAGAGTATATAAACAGAACAACCCGAACAGCGAATTACATCCTGCTTGTACAAGAAAAGGAAATCAACACCTGGCTATGAATCAGCACCTGTCTGCCCCAAAGAACCAAGTCCACTCTCCACTCAGGCCCTTCATGATCCAAAAAATTCAGAGCGGCCTGCATCATCCTATGTCACCCCACTAGTACCCCACCACACCCTCCCTCAAATGGATGACCATCCACACCATTGGTTTTTGGGTCTTCGACACGATCCACTTCCTCCGCCGCATCTGCCGTCGCCTGCGGTCCCACCCGCCCGTGGCGAGGGTGTAGTTCTTCGGAGACCAATCCACCGACGTCACATGATCCTGGCGGTCGTCGTTTGAGCTCGTCACCGGGTGAACGGTCAGAAACGGCGAAACGAGACCCGATACCAATGACAAACCATGCCCAAGCAGGCCTGGCCTTCTTGCAGACATATCATGTGCCAGAGCCACCCTCTAGTTTCACCCATCCTGCAGTCTCCAACAACAACAACAACAACAACAACAAGCACCAAAAAAACAACGAACAAACAAAAACCACAAAGAAGAAGAAGAGGAGGAGGAGGAGGGAGGAGGAGGAGGAGGAGCGGCCGGCCCCCAGCAGTGGCGCTCATTGTGCATGAGCGTCCAAAGCTGTCGCCCAGTCTTCAAGTCCCAGACCCGCACCGTCCTGCGAGGCTCAAAGGAAAACATATTTAAAAAATTCAAATAAAACCTTTTGGAACATGCAAGCAATTCTCGAGAATTCCCATCTTCCTGGTGTCTGACTTGCATGGTTCTGGCTCCTGCTTTCTGCAGGACTTGTCCAACCAAAAAGGCCATTTCCATAGATTCTGTGCAAACCTCCAGCCCTGTAGCCTACGGCCGATGACGCTTGCGCACGGCGTGTGCTGGCACGAAGCGCTTCGTCGAAACCGGGCATTTGCCGTGTCGACCCGCCGCGCCTGTCCGCCGAGGCCGTCGCCACCAGCGTCGGATCCAGGGGGCTGTGAGAGACCTGGGCGGTGAGAGACTTGTGGGATGACTGACCGGTGCGACTTGTAGGGAAGGAAAGTTTCGAGTCACCCTCATTCCCAACTAAGCACCAGTCAGACAAAGGATCACTGCACCCCCCACTCAGCCACTCAGAAGACTTCTCAAATGACAAGACCATTTTATGCTATTTTCGTTGGTCGGCGGGGGGTGCAACCCAAACTTGCCAGGCATGTCCAATCACTGAGAAGAGCTTTAACAACATCTGTACAAGTACAAGGGTCCAAGGTTTTAGAAGTAGCATCATGAATCATCGTTGACCACGAGCACGTCACTTTATCATGCCGTGGCTTTATCCAAAGTGCCTGACAACTCTCCCATCTGCTCTCTACCCCAACCCTGCAAGCCAATGGTCCGCCACCCAGCCCCGAACCTCTTCAACCCCCCTCCACCGAGCTGCGTCGTAGAGCCCTCCCTGGTGCCCCGCGAGCTCCTGCACCAGACGTCCCTCCGCCAGATCGAAGACCCGCAGCCGCCCGTCCCAGCAAGCGCTCAAGAGCCGGTCGCCTGCCGCGAGACCGGCGCCGAACGAGACCCGGTCTGGACAGAGAGGGATGAGGGATGAGGAACAAAGCTTTTCGGCCAGGAAGAGAAACACGTCAGATTTGTGGGGGAGAGGTGACTTGGAGTGTGACTTGCCGCATCGCTCCGACGACCCGTTTGGAGGCGCCTGAGATTGATAGACCAAAGACCTGGGAGGTTGAAGATGGCATCGAAAAGCGTGGTTTCATGCGATTTCCAGAATTCTTCAAAGGGGTTGCAACACGACCTCGCCGCTTTCTTGCCACTACTCAACCTTTTTTGTCATCATCTGGACAAGCGGTGCCCAAAATGCGTAACTCAAAGCAAAACAGTCAGAACCTATAGTCCAATCAGAATCCAAATGGCTTAAAGAAGTACAAAAGTAGCAGGGTGCTTCTTGGAAGGTAAGGAATGCCTATTATATACCCACTCACTTGGCATCAATAATGGTTAGAGTACCCCTTTACAAAACTCCTTGGCACCAGGCACCAGCCAAAATAAATAACTTCCTCAACATGTGCAGAAGCACCTAACCACTTTCTTCCCTGCTGACCTGCCCTTCCTTCATATGTGCCCACAACTGTGGCCACAAGCAAAGAACTGAAACTTTCAGGCAGCAAGCAGGGAGAGGAGGGTTCTGTAGGACTTGCCAGGCTCCACATGACCCAACAAACCAGGCTCCTCCCGTTCTCGGTCTCGCCACCGTCTTGGGGTGCGGGAGCTCGCGCAGCAGTTCGCCCGTGGCCTGGAAAGGCACCAGCCCCGAACTGCCTGGTTTCCCCGAACTGCCTGGGGTCTCCAATGGTTATGCATAGTCGAGTTCCATTAGTTCAGTCCTCCTCTTCCATGTCCTTGCGCTCAGGAGATCTACTTTCGTCAACTGCTGTTGGCCAATGAAGTGGGCAATGGAAACTGCAAACGAAACAGCTACAACACGACGACAGTGATTAGTCACTACTACCAGTAGCAACGGGAAGCGCAGCAATGGTGGGAGTCGCACAGGGTTTGCCAGTCCAACAAAGACATTCGACAGTTTTTGCCTCACCCACTGCATTTGGGCCATCAGAACCACACAAAAGCTCTCACACCTCTCTCTCTTCTCTTCCCTCGCTCGGGCCCCACACCAGGCTCCAGAGCTGCGTCACGTTGTCCGCCCCACCGGACACCACGTGCCCCGGACCCAGCGCCAGCGCGGTGACGCCGGCGCGGTGCGCCGTCCACCTCGCGGAAGTCGGAGGCTGGTCGGCTGGTCATCCTGCCTTTTGGAGAGGAATTTTTGATAAAAATATATCGCGCTTTTGGTGCTATCATTTAAAATTTGCATACATCATCCTACATCTGTCCTCTGACAGTTGACCAGCCGAGCAAGGTCCAACGTCGCTCCCGCACTGGGCCGCCCCGGCTCCTTCAACGGCCTCACGAGCTGCGAGCTCTTCTGCGTTGGGGTTCTTTTGGTCCGGTGTGGCAGCAATTGAGTTCTGTTGTTGCGTCACTCCTATATTGCAAGGTTAAGTTCAAGGTTTTGCCACAAAGACTGGGTCCTCTGGGATGGGCTGACTGAACCAAGAGAACCTGGAGCGCCTCAAACAGAGATCCGTTCAAGAGTTTCACCACCCAAACTCCTTCTGAGATGGAGGCATCATGAGGCAACTATTGAATACTCTACTGAATATATTGCACAGCAGGCAGCCATGCCACCCTTTCTTTTCTGTTATTCCGGTGCACCCCCGGCCAGGTCACTGATTGACTACCAATCCTCCAAGCCCCGCTCGCGCCATGCTTCGCGGCGCAACGGCCTCCGCGGCGCCGCTTCGGCTGCCCTCAGCGCGGGGCGCGTGAGGTTCCAGGCGCGGATGGAGCCATCCTGCCGAAGGCACCGAAGACCGGCGCAGATATGGTGGAGAAGGACATATGGTGAGGCCCTGACCCAAGTGGAGCGAAGTCCTGGCGGTGTGTTGTTCATGATATGATCTTCATGATGTTCATGAGTTTTCGGGACCGATCTTGGAGCTTCCTGCGGCCAAATCTGCTGTCCATTCACTTGGAATGACCGTCTCCAACCAGCGCCGCACAACATACTTCCTTGACCTGAATCAGGAATCAAGCCCTATATGGCGGTAGGGATCACTTTACAACTGAAAAACCTGAGCGCTTCTAGAAAGCAAGAAGACGTCTCACCCAACAAGAAACGGATCCCATCATAGCAACCTTTCTCGTCAAAAGCACAAATCCGCAGCCCACGTTTCCAAAGGTGTTCAGCTCATCTACGATCCCCACGGGCCCGACCTTGGAACCGGAGGCCACCAAGAAGTCGGAGACGGCCAGTGCGTAGATTCCCGCCTTGTGGCCTCATCGAGCCGAACTAGCAAGTGCCAATTGGCATCACCGCAAAAAAGAAAAAAGAATGCAGCACCCAGCCATTTTCTGAGTATATAAGGACCAGCCTGTATTTTATGGGTTGATGTTGATCGAGAGTCAACATCATGAGCAAAAGCAACTTCATCTGAAAAAAACTTTCGGCTGATCTAGCTACGGTGCGCAAAGGTGTTTTCACGCTCGAAGGACACTCATGCTCGAAGGTGTTTTCACGAAGGACAGCGGCAGACATGAAGAAGTCCCAAGCCAAAAAACTCCTCTCCAACCATCTCCAACCTGGGTTTACCAAAGGGTGCTGAAAGCAAAGGAGGCTCCCATACTCCACTCACTCATCTAGGTCTCAGTACAACCTCATGCAGGCAGCGATCACTGTTGCGCCTTCAAACGAGCCCAGAAAACCTGGGGACGCTGAAGATGGGTCGCCCTCCTGCCGCTGCGAGAGATTCGATCAAATCAACTTGAAGGTTTGATCTGCCCATCCTCCTCTCACCACTCACTGGAAACTCTACACAGCTGCTCTTTTGGAACTCCACCATCTTCTTTGACCCAGCCCACAGGTCTGACCGGCGCTGTTGACCGGTGCCGTTCACAGCAACCACTCGACCCGGATCAAGACTTAGCAGAGTGGGCGCACCACCGCACCACTCGATCTTTCTGACGCACCAACGGTCTCACCGACGGTCTCACCAACTATCAAGGAACAGAAAGAACACTCTGCCGAAAATGCGGAAAACCAACTCGGCGTCCCAAAAAGCACATCTTCATTGGCGTCCCCCGGTGTGTCCCATCCTGTCACCACGCCGTGGTGCCCCGGGTTCGGTTAGGTTCGGCGTTCGGGCCACCTGGAAGTCCTGCGCCTGGGTGGTTTCCACCGCCAGCAGGAAGATGAGCCT